AAGTGGTGGTCTGAGCAAATTACAATGCTTCCCCATAGGATTGGCTGAGACTGTCAACTAGGCAGATCAGGGGCAGAGCCAGCATGATTCAAACACAGCCCGGGCCAATCAGCATCTCCTCATGAAGATAAATTGATTCAATGCATCTCTATGAGGAAAGTTCAGTGTCTGCATGCAGAGGGTGGAGACACTGAATGGCAGTGCTGCACACTAGGCAGTACTGCCCCAGGAGGCACCTCTAGCAGCCATCTAGAGTGGCCATCAGAGTTATTTTCTCTGAAAAGACAGTGTTTTCTCCAAATACAATACGCTGTAGTTGTTCTGGTGACTATAGTGTCCCTTTAAGTTTGGAAGCTTAAGAGGGATGCTTGGGAATAAAACCTGTGTGGACTCTGACAATAAAATTAGTTTAGATAATGCAGACTTTGGTGTCTCTAATATATAGCTTCCACCTATTCACCCGTGGAAAATATTGGTATGAACTTAACTTTTCGGATACTTGCTTCCCTTAGGTCACCTCCCAACTTGGTGACCATATACAACTATTACAAAATATAAATCGACCAGGGATCCAGCTTGTATCACTAAAATATAAAAATGAAATGCAGGATAGTGTAATAACGTTACAATTTAAATATTCATTTTGTGTTTCAAGGTGGCACTCACAAATTGCTGGGGTTTTTTCAAGCCCTCAGGTTAACATAGAAACATAGAATGTGACGGCAGATAAGAACCATTCGGCCCATCTAGTCTGCCCAATTTTCTAAATACTTTCATTAGTCCCTAGTCTTATCTTATAGTTAGGATAGCCTTATGCCTATCCCACGCATGCTTAAACTCCTTTACTGTGTTAACCTCTACCACTTCAGCTGGAAGGCTATTCCATGCATCCACTACCCTCTCAGTAAAGTAATACTTCCTGATATTATTTTTAAACCTTTGTCCCTCTAATTTAAGATTATGTCCTCTTGTTGTGGTAGTTTTTCTTCTTTTAAATATAGTCTCCTCCTTTACTGTGTTGATTCCCTTTATGTATTTAAATGTTTCTATCATATCCCCCCTGTCTCGTCTTTCCTCCAAGCTATACATGTTAAGATCCTTTAACCTTTCCTGGTAAGTTTTATCCCGCAATCCATGAACCAGTTTAGTAGCCCTTCTCTGAACCCTCTCTAAGGTATCAATATCCTTCTGAAGATACGGTCTCCAGTACTGTGTACAATACTCCAAGTGAGGTCTCACCAGTGTTCTGTACAATGGCATGAGCACTTCCCTCTTTCTACTGCTAATACCTCTCCCTATACAACCAAGCATTCTGCTAGCATTTCCTGCTGCTCTATTACATTGTCTGCCTACCTTTAAGTCATCAGAAATAATCACCCCTAAATCCCTTTCCTCAGATGTTGAGGTTAGGACTCTATCAAATATTCTGTACTCTGCCCTTGGGTTTTTACGTCCAAGATGCATTATCTTGCACTTATCCACATTAAATGTCAGTTGCCACAATTCTGACCATTTTTCTAGTTTACCTAAATCATTTGTCATTTGGCTTATCCCTCCTGGAACATCAACCCTGTTACATATCTTAGTATCATCAGCAAAAAGACATACCTTACCATCAAGACCTTCTGCAATATCACTAATAAAAATATTAAAGAGAATGGGTCCAAGTACAGATCCCTGAGGTACCCCACTGGTGACAAGTCCAAGCTTCGAATATATTCCATTAACTACAACCCTCTGTTGCCTGTTACTCAGCCACTGCCTTACCCATTCAACAATATTTGAATCCAAACTTAAAGATTGCAGTTTATTGATAAGCCTTCCCTGTGGTTAGGGGGGTTCCTCCTGTTGTTTAGTTACCACGCCAGTTCCAAAGTTAGGAAGTCCACACACTGTGTGGTCTCTCTATCACTGTGGCATGTCGCCTTTCTTCTACACTCACTACATACACATTTTCTCTGTCCCAGACTATATACCAGGAGCTTCTGCCTGCTAGTAAGATGATAAGGAGACAAGTGGACATGTGAATGCTAGGGGACAGTCCTTAGAAAGCGTGGAGTGGGCGCATCATTAGACGCATTTATGCCAAGCTCAGGGTGCTGCCTTCATAGTATGCCCTTAGTTGGACAGCCTGCATGATTGGCAGGCAGCCTGACATGCATTCATGCCAGGCTGGCCTTCCAATTCTTTGGACAAACATGCCCTCTTTTGGGGCATGTTCACCCCTTTTGGCAGGTCTGGTCACGTGATTTGCGGCAGTGGCCCACCTTTTTACCCTGCCCATTGACTTTCTGCTTCACTGGACACTGCAGTTAGGGGGTATGGATTTACTTGAAAGATGAAAAGCATAAATTAGAGAGAGATTAACATAAATTAGAGAGAGATTCGCATAGAGTATGTGTTTTCTTATAGCTGCATCCATTGAGTTTCCCTCCAACACCATCTCCATCAGATACATGACGCTTGGGAGTTATGATTGTTTTAGTGTTCTTGGTCTATAAGATTCTGTAAATAGGCCTCATCATAATTGTCAGTAGAGATGTCCCGAACAGTTCGCCGGCGGACAGTTCCCGGCGAACATCGCATGTTCGCGTTCGCCACGGCGGGCGAACATATGCGATGTTCGGTCCGCCGCCTATTCCATATCATTGAGTTAACTTTGACAACCCCCCCACCCGCCGCGCGGGGGGATGTTGTCAAAGTTAACTCAATGATATGGGGGGGGACACCTACTGTCCTCCCCCCGGCCCCCACCCCTGAGCGGTGGATGGGGGCCCTAAAAAAAACAATAGGGGGGGAACTTCTGTCCCCCCGCGGCCCCCACCCCTGAGTGGTGGGTGGGGGCCCTAAATACTAAGAAGGGGGGGACCTAATGTCCTCCCCCCTGGCCCCCACCCCTGAGCGGTGCGTGGGGGCCCTAAATTGGAATAAGGGGGGGACCTAAGGTCCTCCCCCCTGGCCCCTACCCCTGAGCGGCGGGTGGGGGCCCTAAATACTAAAATTATAAGCCTTCCCCCGCCCTGCAGAGCTCAGTCTGCGCGGAGCCCTCACTGGGTGAAGATGGATTATTTTTTTTTTGCACTCGTTTTTTTTTTGTTTTTTTTAATTGCGTCGGTTATTATGGTTTTTTATTTGGCCTTTTTTGGGGCTGAAAAAAGAAGATTTAGAAGAAAGAAAACATCGAATGGTAAGTTGTTTTTTTTTCTTTTTACAGGTACTTAGTTAAAGGTGCCCCCCCTTATTATTTTTAGGGTGAGGGGGGTAGGTAGGGGGATAATGTTTTTTTTTCCCACGCTGTGTAATTTGACTCATAACTCTTTGATTGGTTACTTAATCCACCAATCAGAGTGTTATGAGTCAAATTACACAGCGTGGGAAAATTCCACAGAACTTTCCCACGCTGTGTAAAATGACACAGAGCACTCTGATTGGTGGATTTCAAACCAACTAATCAGAGTGCTGTGACAGGTAAATGTAGAGACTTACCTGTCAGTCTCTTCATTTACCTGTCAGAGCACTCTGATTGGATGGCTTAAACCCACCAATCAGAGTGCTCTGAGCCTAATTGCAGGGCAGGGCAAGGCTTTATAAGCCTTCCCCGCCCTGCAGAGCTCAGTCTGCTCGGAGCCCTCACCTGGTGAAGATGGATTATTTTTTTTATTTAAATTTTTTAATTGTGTCGGTTATTATGGCTTTTTATTTGACCTTTTTTGGGGCTGAGAAAAGATTTTAGAAGAAAGGTAAGTTTATTTTAATTTTTTTTACAGGTACTTAGTTAAATGGTCCCCCCACATTATTTTTAGGGTGAGGGGGGTAGGTACGGGTTAATTTTTGGGGGTGGGGGGTGACAAGGGGTTTGGGGACCCCTAGTCACCTGCGGGAGGGGGAGTTATTTTTTTTATCTATAGCCCCCACCCGACGCTCAGGGGGGAGGGCATTAGGTCCCAGACCCTAATTAGTATTTAGGGCCCCCACTCAGGGGTGGGGGCCAGGGGGGGAAGACATTAGGTCCCCCCCTAATTATTTATACCTCCAGAGCGGAGTGTCGTCCAGTTGCTGAGAAGGAGGTGGGAGATTCCTGGATCATTTTACCGTGCTTGGCTGTCCATTGGAGTATTCTATTTGTTCCTGAGTGTTGGAGAAACCAGCGGAGAAGAGGTCCTGCTAGGACTAGGGCTCCGCTACAAGGGGTTTAAATCCCAAGATCCTCTGTGCCTGAGAAATAATACATATAAAATATACAGTACCCCAAAAGTAAAAAAAAAAGTAAAGATTACTTAGTATTAGTAAATTATGCCCCTACTCGCTATACCGCGAGTAGGGGCATGTCTATTAAACAGTGAGCAGCCACAGAAAAAAAAACACGTCCCCCCTCCTAACCTGAAGGGGGAACCTATTGTCCTCCCCCCGGCCCCCAGCCTTGAGCGGTGGGGGCAAGAGGGGAGGACATTAGGTCCTCCCCCTCATTCTAATTTAGGGCCCCCACCTACTGCTCAGGGGGGAGGACATTAGGTCCCCCCCCCAATTAGTATTTAGGGCCCCCACCCACCGCTCAAGGGTGGGGCCCAGGGGGGAGGACACTAGGTCCCCCCCTTATTCTAATTTAGGGCCCCCACCCCAGGTCTTAGTATTAGTAAATTTGGCTGAAAGACCAATTTAGGTCTTTCAGCCTTTAGCTAGATAGCTCCTTGATACCATGGGAATTAGGGAGTTATCTGCCAAGCGGCTGCAAGAGAAGTTCCGAAATTCCGAAGTGCCGAATTTCGGAATGCCGAACCGAACAATTTTCCCATGCACATGTCTAGCGAACACCGTGCAAGGGAATCTCTTAGATTCAGGATACAAATGCTCCCCCTGTTTCGGTAGTTATTATCCGTTTATTATCTGTGCTGCTGGAGTTTACAGTAAAGAGAGTAATGCTAAATATTTGCCTCCTGTCATTACTAAAATTAAGTTTATAGGTACACTACATTAGTATACTCTACAATTTCTAACAAAAGACACAAATGACCATAATCACTACATTTAGCAGATTTAGTAAAAGACCGCTTTCAATACTGGACTGCTAAGAACAAACTTCTAGAGAGAACAAGCTACTTATCTAGGATCCATTGAGAGAGGTTAAGTCTGTCTGGCCTCATTTTCTCTTGTTCTCGCTCAGGCTCCGATCGGACGGTAAAAGTGTGGAAATTCTTTCCGTATGTTGAGGAATGTTTCAGTCTCTTCCTAAGTCTTTCCTGCTCACAGCCAGTGGCGAACATGGCCATCCTGAAATCTCTGCTGTTTGTGGCATTCAATGACCCATCCACAGCCACCTACAGCCTCATACAGTACAATCTAGAGACTCAGACTCGAGAAGACCACTTGCCGGGTGATGACCATCAGGACCAGGTCACAGGTTAGAATGATTTATCAGAATTCATTACTACAAGTAACATGTCCAATAATAACAATTAAGGGTTCATTCTAAAATCTCTACTACTCTGATACCTCTTGTGCAATCACCCTCTGCTGTCTGCCCCATGTGCAATTGCCCCCTGCTTTTTGCCCCATTAGCAAACACCCTCTGCTGTCTGCCCCATTAGCAAACACCCTCTGCTGTCTGCCCCATGCGCAATCACCCTTTGCTGTCTGCCCCCATGTACACTCACCCTCTGCTGTCTGCCCCATGTACAGTCACCCTCTGCTGTCTGCCTCCATGTGACATCATTCTCTGCTGTCTGCCTCCATGTGACATCATTCTCTGCTGTCTGCCTCCATGTGAAATCATATTCTGCTGTCTGCCTTCATGTGACATCATTCTCTGCTGTCTGCCTCCATGTGACATCATATTCTGCTGTCTGCCTCCATGTGACATTCTCTGCTGTCTGCCTCCATGTGACATCATTCTCTGCTGTCTGCCTCCATGTGAAATCATTCTCTGCTGTCTGCCTCCATGTGAAATCATATTCTGCTGTCTGCCTCCATGTGACATTCTCTGCTGTTTGCCTCCATGTGACATAATTCTCTGCTGTCTGCCTCCATGTGAAATCATATTCTGCTGTCTGCCTCCATGTGACATTCTCTGCTGTCTGCCTCCATGTGACATAATTCTCTGCTGTCTGCCTCCATGTACAATTGCCTTCTGCTCCATGTACAATCACGCTCTGCTGTCTGCCCCAATATACAATCACCCTCTGCTGTCTGTCTCCATATACAACCCCATTCTGCTGTTTGCCCCCATGTACAATCGCTCTTTGCTGTCTGTACCATTTACAGTCACTCTCTGCTGTCTATCCCAATATACAATCAACTTCTGCTGTCTGCCCCATGTACAATTAACCTCTGCTGTCTGCTCCCATGTACAATTAACCTCTGCTGTCTGCTCCCATGTACAATCACCCTCTGCTCTCTGCCTCCATGTACAATAGCCCCCTGCTGTCTCTCCCCATGTACAACCCTCTGCTGTTACATGGTTACCTCCAAATCAATATTTCTTAGCTGTGTACTCCACATAGGGTTGCCACCTTTTTTTTGGGGGGGGGGGAGGGGGAAATACCAGCTGTGCTAATTTGCATAATTATGTATGTGTGATGTCACTGGACACGACGTCACAGGATGTTGCTTAACATTTGGAAGAGGAAAGTTACATACAGACATACAGTGATATACAGACACAGACAGTGTCATACAGAGACATACAGACACTATCATACAGAGTTAAAGGACCACTATAGTGCCAGGAAAACATACTCATTTTCCTGGCACTATAGTGGCCTGAGGGTGTCCCCACCCTCAGGGACCCCCTCCCGCGGGGCTCTAGGGGGAGGAAGGGGTTAAACTTACCTCTTTCTCCAGCGCTGGGTGGGGAGCTCTCCTCTCCGCCTCTTTGGCTGAATGCGCATGCCGCGCATTCAGCCAGTCCATTGGAAAGCATTTACAATGCTTTCCTATGGACACTGGCGTCTTCTCACTGTGATATTCACAGTGAGAAGTGCGGAAGCCCTCTAGCGGCTGTCAATGAGAAAGCCACTAGAGGCTGGATTAACCCATAGGTAAACATAGTAGTTTCTCTGAAACTGCTATGTTTACAGAAAAAAAGGGTTATTCCTAGCTGGACCTGGCACCCAGACCACTTCATTAAGCTGAAGTGGTCTGTGTGCCTATAGTGGTCTTTTAACCTCTTAAGGACACATGACATGTGTGACATGTCATGATTCCCTTTTATTCCAGAAGTTTGGTCCTTAAGGGGTTAAACAGGCACAGACATTCAGATACAGTCATACATAGACATACAGACACTGACATACAGTCACTGACAAACACAGTCATACAGAGACATACAGACACTGACATACACAGACATACAGTCACTGACAAACAGTCATACAGATACATACAGGCACAGACATTCAGATACAGTCATACATAGACATACAGACACTGACATACAGTCACTGACAAACACAGTCATACAGAGACATACATACACAGACATACAGTCACTGACAAACAGTCATACAGATACATACAGGCACAGACATTCAGATACAGTCATACAGACACTGACAAACACAGTCATACAGACACTGACAAACACAGAGAGACTCAGGCATATAATTAAGAAATAAATATAAATATAAAACAAGCATTTATTTCTATGTCCCTAATTGCTCCCATCTTCATTACTGGCAGGACTGCTCTCCCTCTATAAACCCTCCCTGCAGAGACCTGGCTATTTACAAGTTGTATCTCTGTGTCCTATGGCGGGGGGCAGGGGTGAACACTGCAGAGCTGTAAAAAGCTGCTCTGTCTGATAACCAGGTCGGTGCTGGAAAGGCAGGAGGCAGCCACAGCACACTCAGACCAGCACTCCTAACTGAGTGTGAGTGAGGAGAGGAGGCAGGAGGAAGGGGGCGGAGCTAAATATCGATCTGAGAGGATCTGCAAGTATGTATCCCTCCCCACTCTCCCGGAGTCCCCACTCTCCCCGAGTATGTCTCCCCACTCTCCCTGAGTCCCCACTCTCCCCGAGTATGTCTCCCCACTCTCCCTGAGTCCCCACTCTCCCCGAGTATGTCTCCCCACTCTCCCTGAGTCCCTTCTCTCCCCGACTATCTCTCCCCACTCTCCCCGAGTCCCCTCTCTCCCTGAGTATCTCTCCCCACTCTCCCCGAGTTCCCTCTCTCCCCGAGTATCTCTCCCCACTCTCCCCTTTCTCCCCGAGTATCTCTCCCCACTCTCCCCGAGTCCCCTCTCTCCCCGATTCTCTCTCCCCACTCTCCCTGAGTCCCCACTCTCCCCAGTCTCCCTGAGTCCCCACTCTCCCCGAGTATCTCTCCCCACTCTCCCAGTCCCCCCCACTCTCCCGGTCCCTCTCCCCTCTCCCAGGTCCCTCTCTCCCGAGTATCTCTCCCCACTCTCCCAGGTCCCCTCTCCCCACTCTCCCGGTCCCTCTCTCCCAGGTATCTCTCCCACTCTCCCAGGTCCCCCTCTCTCCCGGTATCTCCCCACTCTCCCCCCCTCTCTTCCCGTATCTCTCCCCACTCTCCCCAAGTCCCCTTTCTCCCCGAGTATCTCTCCCCACTCTCCCCGAGTCCCCTCTCTCCCCGATTCTCTCTCCCCACTCTCCCTGAGTCCCCACTCTCCCCAGTCTCCCTGAGTCCCCACTCTCCCCGAGTATCTCTCCCCACTCTCCCCGAGTATCTAACCCCACTCTCCCCGAGTATCTCTCCCCACTCTCCCCGAGTATCTCTCCCCACTCTCCCCGAGTATCTCTCCCCACTCTCCCCGAGTATCTCTTGCCACTCTCCCCGAGCATCTCTCCCCACACTCTCTGAGTAGCACTTCCTGTAACGGAACCGCTGGCACCCACGACCGGGTACCTTCCGCCGACGGATGCTCCTAGTGCTTTCCGAGGACTCCAAGCACTCTGCCCGACACCATAACCACTGTAGACCCCACGAACCGCCGCAGCTTGGTTGGGGTCTCACTGTCTCTACCCACTCTGGACCCAAGACCAGGGTCCAGCTTCCAGTAGGTTGACCTTTCTCCGAATTCCAGAGAGCAGGAACAGGAACAGGAATAAGCTCTTAGCAGAGCTTAGTGATTATGCCCTGGGGAGTATAGTGATTATAGCAATCCCCAGAGTGTAGTTTCTCCAATTCCCCAAACATGAGCCGAAACTTCTTGAAGGTACAAGATGATCGGATCCTTTAATGGCACATACTCTGCTTTTATGTAATTCTCCCCTGCAAGGGAGACGCCCACAGACAATTATACAATACCCAATCACACAATGGTTACATCCCACACATCTCCTCCCCTTAGCCTGAGAGGTAACCCAATTATCTATACATTTTAAAACACACTTTTTACCCTACTTTCCTAACTCCAAAACTATACATCCAATATTAATAAAACTTACATATTATTAATCAGCACACTTTAAAGGACCACTATAGTGCCCTGAGGGTGCCCCCACCCTCAGGGACCCCCTCCCGCCCGGCTCTGGAAGGGGGAAAGGGGTTAAACTTACCTTTTTCCAGCGCTGGGCGGGGAGCTCTCCTCCTCCAATCCTCCTTCTCTCCTCCCCGTCGGCTGAATGCGCACGCGCGGCAAGAGCTGCGCGCGCATTCAGCCGGTCACATAGGAAAGCATTATCAATGCTTTCCTATGGACGCTGGCGTGCTCTCACTGTGAAAATCACAGTGAGAATCATGCAAGCGCCTCTAGTGGCTGTCAATGAGACAGCCACTAGAGGATTAGGGGAAAGGCTTAACCCATTGATAAACATAGCAGTTTCTCTGAAACTATGTTCATAAAAAAATGGGTTAACCCTAGAAGGACCTGGCACCCAGACCACTTCATTAAGCTGAAGTGGTCTGGGTGCCTAGAGTGGTCCTTTAAACATAACCATAACCAAAAATCAGCCAAATCCATCCAGGGGTTAAAAAGTTAGCTGGAGGTCCCTTTATGACCAACCGCATGCACATTTTCCTGCCAAAAACAGTTCCATAGATTTTGGGCAGGAAAATTTGAGCTGAAAAAACGACTAAGTCCCATCGCCGAATGGGACTTAGTCTCTGCAGCTGTAATATCAGTATGGGAGAAGGTAGAGCTCAGCGGTGTTAGCAGAAATGTGTAGCCGATTTTAGTTCCATGAATTTGGCTACACATACCACTGACCTCGTTCGCATTAACAAAGATGGCCGCGGCCATGTGTTCGGCAAACGAACAAAGGCCACCCAGCGTTCGGTAATTAAGCTGCGGTTAACCACAGCTTCTGGGAGGTAAATTGCCGACACACTTCCACTTCTGGGTGGTCTGCCTGTGTGGTACTTGGTTCAGTAAGCCCCATTTACTGAACCAAGTGGGAAATAACCCGGCACAAAGGGTTTTAAGCAGGTCTGGGGGCACAGGGGACACCGTCTTAAAGGGGCAGTGTCCCAAACAAGTCTGGGGACACCGTCTTAAAGGGGCAGTGTCCCAATTTTCCCTATGCCCCAAAAAGGTGCTTAAAGGGCCAGCACCAGTCCCATAACCCACAAGGCAGGTCTTAAAGGGCCAGCAGCAGCACAAGATAAATCCATTAGCACAAATAAGGTTTGTAAAGTGCCATACAACCCAGGGCCGTAGTCATGAGGCCCTGGGTTGTATGGCAACCTCAGGCTCCTCCAACAGCCAGGGGCAAATGGCAACTTGTCACCTAAAAATCTAGTGACGAAAGGCATTTCATCACACTTCCCACTCTGCCTGAGTATCTCTTCCCACTCTGCCTGAGTATCTCTTCCCACTCTGCCTGAGTATCTCTTCCCATTCTGCCTGAGTGTCTCTTTCCACTCTCCCTGAGTATCTCTCCCCACTCTGCCCGAGTATCTCTCCCCACACTCACTGAGTATCTTTCCCCACTCTCCCTGAGTATCTCCCCCACTCTGCCTGAGAATCTCTCCCCAGTCTCCCCTGAGTTCCCACTCTCCCTGAGTATATCTCCCCCACTCTCCCCGAGTATCTCTTCCCACTCTCCCGAGTATCTCTTCCCTCTCTTCCCACTCTCCCCGAGTATCTCTCCCCACTATCCCCGAGTATCTCTCCCCACACTCACTGAGTATCTCTCCCCACTCTGGCTGTCTCAGGGTCAGGGAGCTTTGGCAGAGATACTTGCAGATCTGGGAGAGCCTCTCAGAGTTTCAGCAGAAAGAAATTCCGGCCACTGCATTGCTGGTATTCCTGCTGGTTAAATAACAGTCAGGTGGCAACCCTAACTCCACATACAGCTTGCCTGTTATTTTCCATTATTTAGTATATGGGAAAATTTGTCCACAGCTTTATTTAAACAATCCTGAATAATAACAATTTATTAATTATAATAATAACCATAATAATATTTTAACAAATAAACATGGGTCATTGCCCCCCATACTCTGCCCTCGCATCCGAATCCTTCTGTTGATATAAAAGGCAATGACCCCCATATAAATAACACATATATATATATAACATATATACCAACATATTCCAACATACCAACTTAAAGTACCAAACATAAATTAACCATGGCAGGAGTATACCCGGATACCCCTACCCCACCAGGTTCTGAGCCACCGACAGGACTTGAAACCTACCAACCACCAATGACCACAGTTTTCCGTCTCCATGACGTTCATCCCAGGGAGCCTATTTCTTCTCTTTCAGCTCCCTATCCCGCCACAAGCTCAGACCTTGACTCCTTAAGCTGTCTGAGCTCCGCCACCCCGAAGAAATAGTGCTTTGAGTATTCCGTCCTGCCAGCCCAGGGTCAACAAATCCCAACCCACTGCCGAGAGATGGACACCGTCCGAGCGGTAGTACCCTGGCAACCCGCCTTCCAACTCACTGTGCCGTACTACCACCCCCCTAATTTCCTCACAAAGCTTGCCATCAAGCTATTCACTTTCTTTCTACACCTGTCAATAGCTGCCGGGTCCCTAGCGTTCCGCCACCGCCTCCTCTGGACAATTTCGACCATACCAACATCACTCCAGGAAGCAGGTCCCTTAGATTGTTACGGTTCTGCTTCATCCACTTCACCAGCCGTCGTTGCGGTGTTAGGCCTAAGTCGTTGTCTCCCGCATGGAGTACCAGCAGGTCTGGCCTTTGCCCGCCTGCCACCATCCGGAACACCACCCAGCAAACCTCCCCCCAACAAAAACCCCTGTATCCAAACCATTGCACCGCCAACTGATCCCTAGGAAAGCCCAGCTTGTGGCCCTGAGCTCGAGCTGGTGCCCTCCTTTCAGCCCAGAAGATGAATGAATGGCCCACGATCTATACGACACGGCCTGGGGAAGAGAAGAAAACAGATCGTAAAAACCCCCTTTTCGCTTTCAGCCCCCTGGGATACCCAGAAGGCCCCCACCTTACTAATCCAATAAACCCAGGCGCACATACGAATTGAACTGCACTGACTCCCATCTCCCAATCTGCTTTACTATGTCATCACCCAGACCCAACCGTGTTGCCTCCGTGGCCGCCCCAATGCGAAAGGAGTGTGTACCAAACTTATCCGCCCGCAGTCCCATCTTCCCGAGGCCTGACCGAAAAACCTTAGTGAATTTGAACCGGGAGACGGAAGACCCTTCCGCGTGTACCAATAGTGATTCCCCAACCCCCGGCCTCCGTGCCAGGTACCCCGCCACTGGGCACAGAGTGGAGCCCGGCAGGGCCCGTAGTGTCACGTCCCGGCCCGCGCCCTTTACGTCCGTCTCGGATTTTGCCAGGTGTACCACCAATTTCCCCCCCAGCACTCGGACCCCCGACACCTGTAGGCCCCCGGCCGCCGCTTGCGTGTCACTCATCAACTCCCCTAACCGGAAAGCTCAGAAAAAAGCCAACAGAAACGCTGCCTGGAACTGCGACGCTTCGAACCTGTCAAAGCAAATTTTTGGCAACAATCTGACCAGATCCCCCAACACTCGCAACGATACCGGGCGTCTAGTGTCAGGAAGCCTGCGGCCCATCCAATACCCTTTTAGTTGCTGCCTAATGACAAAGGTCTTATGACAAAGTAATATCCTCCTTCCCGTGTAGCTTAACCCAGAAAGCCATCGTTGCCATGGACTAGTGAACCACCGCCGGGGACGCCCCCTTTGCCAGAAATTGACAGGTGTACCAGAGGAACGCGTCCGTGAGCGATTCCCCCACAAGCACGCGGTCCAGCCCTTCCCATGACCGTTCCCATGACTCCCAGACCTTACTGTATGCGGCCCAAGTCCCCCAAACAGGACGTACCTAGCCGCCATATATCGCGCCTGCCGTGCTTCCGGCGCCACCGGCCGCAGTCAGGACCACTGAAAACGAGAGAGAGCATCAGCCACTTCGTTCATGAACCCAGGCACATGGCGCGCGCAAAAAACTACATTTAGCGACATGCACATTAAAACGAAGCGCCGCAGCGACCTGACCACGGGTTTCGACGCCGCCGATTGATTATTCACTGCGTGCACCACGGCCATGTTGTCTGAGAGAAAGACCACCTTCCCTTCCCACAGCCCTTCCCCCCACAGAGCCATCACCACGACCAGCGGGAACAGTTCCAAGAAAGCCAGGTTACGCATGAGGGTGCTCGGTCCCCACTCCTCCGGCCACCGCTCCGCACACCATCTACCCCCGAAGCCTACGCTACCCGACGCGTCGGTGAACAGCACCAGTTCTGCCATCAACACGCCCTCCTGCCTAAAGAACACCGTCCTATTGAAATCCCACAGGAAGGCATCCCATATTGCCAAGTCGGCCCTCATGGCTGATGATACCCGTATGAAATGGCGTGGGAATCGTGTCGCTGCTGACAAGCTACGGCTGAAGACCCTTGTTACGATTGCAGGAGGGTTGATCGCTTGGATGTCCTGGTTCCCGCTGCAGAGAGTCGAACGGAGGTCTTTCGGTAGTAAGCTGCAAATGTAGAATATCCCCAAGCACGATATGAGCATCAATATCCCGGATCCCTACAACATGAGTCGAGGCTGCAAGTTGAGGGTCAAAACGAACTGGCTTTACTGGCACATAGCATGGCAATTTATGTGATTCCTCAGGCCCCCTGTGGACCTGATGGAATACAGGTACAGTACAAACAGGTAACCAATCACAGTACACTGTATCATTTGAATTAGTACCCGCCCAGCTTGGAGATAATGAGGCCAACGGTTTTACAATCTAATTATCTCCAAGCGCACAAAAGACCACGTTTTATTATGTCCCAGAAAACTACATAAAAATCCATAACTTGTACATTATTACAGGAAAACCATTCATTCTACCATTCATCTGAAGGCTCACGTTCGTATAGATAAAACAGGCGAATGGCGCTCTAATCCCACGAACAGAATGTACTGTTTCTGCCGTATAAAGTCCGTTCGGCATTTTGAGATTTAGTCTTTGTTGGCGGCCATGTTTTCTGCTGGTTTAGCGAGCAGAGGGACTTCGTGTCTAACTCGTGGAACTAAACTCGGTATCAGTTCATGCGAAGTCCCGCTGTCTGTCTGGTAGTGGGCTCGTTCGGTAAGAGAATGAGGACCACCTGGGAGCAGGGTACTTGACCTGCGGTTAACCGCAGAAACCACAGTTAATGAGCGCCACGCGACCCGCTGTAGGGGGTCGTCGTTCGGTGGATAGTTCGGTATTTTCCCTTCGGTACTTTGGGTGCGAACGTCGATGCCCCCAGGCATATCAATTACGTTGTGGTTAACCGCAAACCGCAGCCACCTGGGTGGTTAATGGCTGCCACACTCCGCGGGCCGGGTGGTCGACCGTTCGGTAGTTTGCGGGGTGACGGGGTTAAGTGGCGGCACACGCCAGTTTCTGGGGGGTCCCCCGTTCGTACCACGAATGGAGCCTTCATAAGGGTTCGCGTAATCCATTCGTGTGGTTTTCTGCTTAACTTATGCAGTGGCAAACAGTATCAATCGGTGGATATTGGTGCGGTGTAAGTGACAAGGACCTACACCTATAAGTGGAGCGCTCAAACACAGATAAATCTTACCAAAACGTAGTCTCATTCAATGGTGAAATATGGGGTACATGTCAACATAAAATACAGAAAATACAATATAGTGTAGACGGTACTAAAAAATGGCTTCACAGTGATTATAATAATATTGTGTTGAATATTACACTCACATTTCAAGGAGCCTGTATATAGAAAACACTGGCTCCGTATAAAGGCTTGTGTGCTGTTATGGTAGCACCACCCTCCTACTTCGGCTTGAAGAATTTCTCAGGAGTACGAAAAAAAAAGAGAAGAAAGCAAACCAATGTGTAGACTTATGGTTATAGATGGCACAGATATGTGTTCAATAAATGGGGTGCTCACCTGGTCCTGAGCCTACGAATCCCGGCTCTAGGTATGTGGATTTTGTGCCAGTTTGAATGGGGATGGCACTACCCCTGTGAGGATTCCTTGGAGGCTCCAAAAGGAACTTGGATGAGGTATTGAATAAAAATGGTGAATTTATTAGTTTAAAATAAACATAAAAACAAAGATGATAAAAGTCCTCAAATAAAAGTCCTTTAAAAATGGCCAATACGCGTTTCACTCTCAAATAGAGCTTCTAATAAATTCACCATTTTTATTCAATACCTCATCCAAGTTCCTTTTGGAGCCTCCAAGGAATCCTCACAGGGGTAGTGCCATCCCCATTCAAACTGGCACAAAATCCACATACCTAGAGCCGGGATTCGTAGGCTCAGGACCAGGTGAGCACCCCATTTATTGAACACATATCTGTGCCATCTATAACCATAAGTCTACACATTGGTTTGCTTTCTTCTCTTTTTTTTTCGTACTCCTGAGAAATTCTTCAAGCCGAAGTAGGAGGGTGGTGCTACCATAACAGCACACAAGCCTTTATACGGAGCCAGTGTTTTCTATATACAGGCTCCTTGAAATGTGAGTGTAATATTCAACACAATATTATTATAATCACTGTGAAGCCATTTTTTAGTACTGTCTACACTATATTGTATTTTCTGTATTTTATGTTGACATGTACCCCATATTTTACCATTGAATGAGACTACGTTTTGGTAAGATTTATCTGTGTTTGAGCGCTCCACTTATAGGTGTAGGTCCTTGTCACTTACACCGCACCAATATCTACTAAATTTATTCAGTGGAATAGAGGATATTTCCACACTAGTGTATTGAGCTGCCTGTAAATCACTTTTTGACTCTTTTGAGCACTTTTGTTATACACACTCCTCTGTAAAAAGAGGCAACCTTTGATTGGTATTCATAGTATCAATCGGTGAGTTAAAACAGCAACATAGTGATTTCCAGTCTTTTGTAACAATGCTCCCTCTTTGTGGAACACTCTGGCAGACACTGTCTGACCCCTTTTCGGGGCAGACTAAGGCTGTCCAGACTCGTGGGGTTATGCTGGGCTGAGATCTGTTTGCCGGGATAATCCATCTGCGTTGCCGTTCTGCTTCCCAGGTCGGTAGGTGATTGTGAAATTAAAGGGTTGCAGGGATAAGCTCCAGCGTAACAATCTGCCATTGTCCCCAGCGACCCGGTTGAGCCACACCAGCGGGTTATGGTCTGTAACTAGAGTGAACTCTTGTCCATACAAATAGGGGGTTAACTTCTTTAGTGCCCACACCAGAGCCAAACACTCCTTTTCTACCGCTGCATAGCTGACTTCGCGTGGTAGGAGTTTTCGACTGATGTAGGCAATCGGGTGTTCTTTCCCATCATCTCCTACTTGGCTGAGGACAGCTCCCAGCCCGAACATGGAAGCGTCTGTATGGACAATAAAACGTTGATTAGGGGCTGGGGCAGCCAAGACAGGAGCATTAATCAACGCAGTTTTGAGGGCTTGGAAAGCTGTTTCACAGTGGGGAGACCACAGGACCTGTCGGGGAAGGTTTTTCTTTGTCAGGTCGGTCAGGGGTTTGGCAATGGCGCTATACTGCGGTACAAATTTTCTGTAGTACCCAGCGGTACCCAGAAAGGCTAGCACTTGGGTCTTAGTGTGGGGAGTGGGCCAGTTGGCGACCGCTTCTATTTTAGCTGGCTCTGGTCGTTTCCCACAGCCTACCCGGTGACCCAGGTACTGAACCTCAGCCATCCCAAAGTGACATTTTTCGGGCTTTAGCGTCAGGCCGGCGGCTCGAATCTGGTCTAGGACTATTCCCACATGAGCCAAGTGTTCTTCCCAGGATTCACTGTGGATCGCTATGTCCAGATATGCGCAGGCAAACTCCTGGAAGCCATCAAGGAGTCTGTCCACCAAGCGCTGGAAGGTAGCGGGGGCATTCTTCATCCCGAATGGCATGACCTTAAAGTGGTACAGACCGAACGGGGTGACGAAGGCCGACTTGGGGACAGCCTCCCTGGCCAGGGGGATTTGCCAGTAACCCTTACAGAGGTCAATGGTAGTTAGGTAGTTCCCCCTGGCTATGCGATCTAGCAGCTCATCCACTCTGGGCATGGGGTAGGCATCGGTGACAGTTTTGTCATTGAGTTTCCGGTAGTCCACACAGAATCTGGTGGTGCCGTCCTTTTTGGGAACCAGCACCACCGGGGATGCCCAGGGACTATCGGAAGCTTCAATGACCCCTAGTCGCAGCATCTCGTCTATTTCCTTTTTCATGCCTGTCCTTACTGCCTTCCGGAATTCGGTAGGGCGCCTGTCTCAAAGGGTTTTGGCCGGGGTTATCTACTTGGTGAGTAGTCAGCTCAGTGTACCCTGGCTCTTGGGAGAACATGGCTTGTTTCTCTCGGAGCAGTTTGTGTAGCTGCTCCCTCTCAACTTGGCTAAGTCTGTCCCTGATCTGCACTTGGCTCACTATTTCAACCGGGGAGTTGGAGGTTAATAGGTCGGGTATAGGGAGACTATCTGCGTCCTCGTGTGCAGGGCTACATATGGCTACCACTTCCTCGGGTCTCTGCAAGTATTCCTTCAACATGTTCACGTGAAATATCTTCCTTAAGTTTTCATCGTGACAGCTGGCAATTACATAAGTGGTGTCTCCTCTCTTCTCTACTATCTGGTAGGGACCCTGCCAGGCTGCTTGTAGCTTGTCTGCCTTAACTGGTTTTAGTACCATGACTTTCTGTCCAAGACAGAAGCTTCTCCGCCGTGCCCCCCGGTCGTACCAGACTTTCTGTCGCCCCTGGGCCGCCTGGAGGATGGCCTGGACTGACTTAGCCAATTGCTCCATTCGGTCCCTGAGCTCTAGTACGTAAGGCACGATGGGGACCCCGGCGTTCTCTGTCTCCCTCTCTCCCTCCCAGTGCTCACGGATCAGGTTCAGGGGACCCCGTACCTTGCGACCGTATAACAGCTCAAAGGGAGAGAACCCGGTGGTTTCCTGGGGCACTTCCCGGTAAGCGAACAGGAGGTGCGGCAGGAAACGTTCCCAGTCCCTATACTCCTGGGTAAAGGTTTTTAACATCTGCTTGAGGGTTCCGTTGAACCGCTCACATAGCCCATTGGTCTGGGGGTGGTACGGGGAGCTAAGAAGGGATTTTATTTTGCAAACGTGCCATAGCTGCTGGGTCAGTTCGGCCGTGAACTGTGATCCCCTGTCGGATAGGATCTCCCTAGGGAATCCTACCCGAGAAAACACCTGCACTAATGCATTAGCCACCGTGTCTGCCTGGATATTAGATAAAGCTACAGCTTCTGGGTAGCGGGTAGCATAGTCCACTATGGTAAGAATGTATCTCTTGCCCGAGGGACTAGGGGTGGCCAGGGGCCCAACTAAGTCAATGGCTACCCGGCTAAACGGCTCGTCGATAATGGGCATGTTAACGAGGTGTGCCTTGGGGTGGTCTCCTCGTTTGCCTACCCGTTGGCACACCTCGCACGTATTACAATAGGACCTCACATCTGCATGTACTCCTGGCCAGAACAAGGTATGGGTAATACGGTGCAGGGTACGGGTTACTGCCAAGTGCCCGGCTAAGGGAATATCATGACCCACCCGGAGGATATCCCGCCTATACTTGTGGGGTATTACTAACTGTCTCCTCCGGTGGCCCTTTTTCTCGGTGTGTCGGTACAGTCGGCCCTGTTCCCACGCAAAAGTCTCCTGGTCTGGTCCCCCAGCCCCTGTATCAGCCCTTTCCCTATATTTTTGGAGCGTCGGGTCAGTTTTGGTCTCAACCTCAAAGGCTGCAGGGGTGTCCCAGGGCAAAGGGGTAGGAGGGGGGGTCACAGTCGGGTTAAGACCTGCCTCCCGCACTGGTGAAGGGTCTCGTACTCGTCCTGCTTGTGACCGGGTCGTCACGGGATGTGCCTCAGCGTTGTAAGAAGGAGCATAAGCTGAGGTCATAGGTCCCAGGTCGTTTCCCAGCAAAACTTCAGCTGGCAAATTATCCATAATTCCCACCCGCACAAGTCCTTTGCCCGCACCCCAATCCAAGTGTACCTTTGCTGTGGGTAGTTTGTATATGTCCCCTCCAGCCACCCGGACAGCCACTGTGTCAGGAGAGCGTTTGTATTCGGGAACTAACCGGCTTTGTACCAAGGTGATCGTGGCCCCGGTGTCTCTTAACCACTGTGTGGGACGACCCTCCAGCAGTACCTCTTGCCGGTGGTGTTGTCTATTGTCACTGGCGGCATACACAGGGTTAGCTTCATGTAGGGGTCCCAGGTACTCTTCTAAAGGACTGTCTTGTTCCAGGCAAACGCTCGAGCTGGGCGATTGTTTCCCGTTGAAGAGGAATTGTAGTTCCTTGCGGGGTAATTGTTGTTGAGGGGGCAACTCGCTATCAGGTGCCCCGGTTGCTTGCACTTGTAACATGTGGGTCGGGAGCGCTCCTGCGGGCATTGACTGGGTGGTCCCGTGTACCGTGTAGGGCCTGCCGGTACAGGGGTGCGAAACTCCGTTCGTGGAGTTGGTCGGTACCCCTCTCTTGCTTCGGGGCGAGTTACCGTTCGGGTATTGCTGAACTCCTGAACTTGCGCATCCCGGTGTTCGTCCGCCAACCTGGCGGCTTCATGTAGATTAGCGGGACGCCGGTCTTTCAACCACTCCCTGTCTTTTTGTTCCAGACCCTCATAAAAATGTTCAAGTAAAAATAGTTCTAGTACCTCTGCTGCGGTAACGGCCCGACACCCGGTAATCCAATGGTTAGCCGCTCTCCGCATGCGGTGTGCCCATTCGGCATGTGTGTCGTTCGCCTTTTTCTTCGTGCTGCGGAACTGCCTTCGGTAGGTGTCTGGGGTCACAGCGTACCGTTTCAGCAGCGTCTCTTTTACTGTGGGGTATTGGGCTACCTCTTCGGCGCTGAGGGTTCTGAAGGCTTCCATGGCCTGCCCGGTTAATTTTCCTGCCAGGATACATGGCCATGCTGCGACGGGGGTCTGATGCAGGGCACATTGTCTTTCAAAATCGGCCACAAATTCGTCTATCCCCATCTCATTCTCCGCGAACGGCTTGAATGCCGCGAAAGGAATCTTTGGCTGTTCGGCAGTTTCCAGGGAGCCGTTGTGGCTATCAGCGGTCCTCATGCTCAGCTCGTGGGCTCTAGTCCGCTGTACGTCCGCCTCGGCTTCGGCCATTAGTTGCTGTATCAGCTCCACGGATGGGTTCGGTCCGTACAGAGGCAGCCTTTCTCGGACAATCCTGGTCTTCTCATCGCTGAATGCTGCCGTCGGTTCTGCCATTGTGAAGCTTTGATCCAACTCGTTCAGGTCGGCAATCAATTCTCTCCTCGGCCGGTTACTTGCGTTCCCTCCACGGCTCTCGAGTAAATCCTTTAACGTGGTACGCTTCAGCTTATCGTAGTTACTCTCCATCCGTCCTATATATCTCTTTCAGGAATTCCAGGATGGTCCCACCGCTGCCACCAATTGTTACGATTGCCCCCGGTCTAGCAGGAGGGTTGATCGCTTGGATGTCCTGGTTCCCGCTGCAGAGAGTCGAGCGGAGGTCTTTCGGTAGTAAGCTGCAAATGTAGAATATCCCCAAGCACGATATGAGCATCAATATCCCGGATCCCTACAACATGAGTCGAGGCTGCAAGTTGAGGGTCAAAACGAACTGGCTTTACTGGCACATAGCATGGCAATTTATGTGATTCCTCAGGTCCAAGGACAGCCCCCTGTGGACCTGATGGAATACAGGTACAGTACAAACAGGTAACCAATCACAGTACACTGTATCATTTGAATTAGTACCCGCCCAGCTTGGAGATAATGAGGCCAACGGTTTTACAATCTAATTATCTCCAAGCGCACAAAAGACCACGTTTTATTATGTCCCAGAAAACTACATAAAAATCCATAACTTGTACATTATTACAGGAAAACCATTCATTCTACCATTCATCTGAAGGCTCACGTTCGTATAGATAAAACAGGCGAATGGCGCTCTAATCCCACGAACAGAATGTACTGTTTCTGCCGTATAAAGTCCGTTCGGCATTTTGAGATTTAGTCTTTGTTGGCGGCCATGTTTTCTGCTGGTTTAGCGAGCAGAGGGACTTCGTGTCTAACTCGTGGAACTAAACTCGGTATCAGTTCATGCGAAGTCCCGCTGTCTGTCTGGTAGTGGGCTCGTTCGGTAAGAGAATGAGGACCACCTGGGAGCAGGGTACTTGACCTGCGGTTAACCGCAGAAACCACAGTTAATGAGCGCCACGCGACCCGCTGTAGGGGGTCGTCGTTCGGTGGATAGTTCGGTATTTTCCCTTCGGTACTTTGGGTGCGAACGTCGATGCCCCCAGGCATATCAATTACGTTGTGGTTAACCGCAAACCGCAGCCACCTGGGTGGTTAATGGCTGCCACACTCCGCGGGCCGGGTGGTCGACCGTTCGGTAGTTTGCGGGGTGACGGGGTTAAGTGGCGGCACACGCCAGTTTCTGGGGGGTCCCCCGTTCGTACCACGAATGGAGCCTTCATAAGGGTTCGCGTAATCCATTCGTGTGGTTTTCTGCTTAACTTATGCAGTGGCAAACAGTATCAATCGGTGAGTTAAAACAGCAACATAGTGTCTTTTGTAACAACCCTATCCATTGGAATCACCCGGCATGCAAAGTTCAGCATCCCGATCAATGACTGCAGCTGTCGCAGGGGGACCTTGCGAGCCTGTGCCACCGCTGCCACCTCCCCTTTCAGCCTCTGCAGATTTGCTATCGGCAGCCGACACTCCCCTTGCACAGAGTCTATCTCCAGCCCTAGGAAACTAAGGCACGTAGCCGGGCCTTCCGTTTTGTATGCCGCCAAACGCTGCCTGAACTGCTCGTCGTACCGCCACCATGCCAGTCTACCATAGGAGCGGTACGCCTCCCAAATTCCGTCCAAATAACAAAACAGGGTGGAGCCCATGCCAAGGAGGCCCCTTGCCTGTGGTTCCAGGGGCCCTCCGTGCACTCCTCCCGTACTGGCCCCGCCGTTCACCGTCAAGGGTGGAGGGGGAGCCCTCCCGGGCTGTAACCCTGTGCCATCTTCGAATCCAGGGGGCCGCCCGATGTCCCCGTGGCACCCGCTCCAGGTGTGGCCCTCCCCGAACTGGGAGCTGCGCCGTCCTCCTCTCGGGCAGCTGCCCACCGGCTACTGCTCCTCCGACGCCCCGGTAGTGTGCTGGGAGGCGGTGCCTCAACCACGCGGCTACTGGGTCTGTTGCGGCCTGGTCCCGCCGCCACACGGCTTCTGGCGCAATCTTCACCGGGCCCCGCGTCCGGGCTCAGCCTTCTCGGCGGTCTCCTGGCCCGCACCGGACAACCTCCGCCGCCATAAGGATCCGCTGCTCCCGCCAGGGCCGGTCCAAGTTGGGCCCACAGCTAGTCCACACCATGTCCTTCCAGCTGCCGACCGGATCCCCTCCAGCAGCTTCTCCATGTCATCCATCGTCCCAGCAGAAACGAGAGAAAACAAGGGACCCACCAAGCCAAATCTGTGGACACAGGAGTGTACACAAACTCGGCCAGGTAGGAAATTAAAAGTGAATCATTTAAAATGGATGCCTATTTAAATAGCCAAGTCTTCTTACCCATAACCCCATTCCTTCCTTGCTTCCTCCTATGCCTGCCTCCTAACCCCTGTCAAGGCCTTTTTTTGCTTAGCTGCGCTTTGGCTACATGGGGCTACAGGATAGTGGATAAAAGAAAGGAGAGGGGAGGCAGTAGAACAGTGATGGCGAACCTATGGCACGCCGAGCCTTCTCTGTGGGCACGCGGCCATAGTTTAGCTTTGTCTCCAACTAGTGCCAAAACAATATATTGTCTCTATATACTCTCTTTATCTATTAATAAAAGTTATGTTTTAAAATATACTACCACTTATACTCGAGGGGTTAAGAGCTTGTTCTGGAGAGTGATTTGATTCTTCACTTGTCTGAGATCTTTTTTTTGTACTGTTACAGGTAAGCGTTATCTCTAAGAAAAATATTCTGATTGTACAAGGTTTGATTTCCTGTTGGTAATTGGTAAGGCATTTGATTTGAATAAGTAGGTGTTTGTTAATAAGGTATCGATTGTATGTTATCAAGCATAGGCCAACTCAGGTGTAAAACATTTATAGGGGGTGCTGCTTTTAGGAGTTATATAAGGGTTGGAGAAATCAGCTTGGGTGCTGCTACAAAGTGTACTTACTTGGAGATAGTCTGAGGTATATAGGAAGTGGAAAAAAAATTGAAACGTAAGTTTTGTTTGATTTAAATTCTTCATCAGAGTTCAGAGAAGGGCTGCTAAACTGGTTCATGGATTGCGGGATAAAACTTACCAGGAAAGGTTAAAGGATCTTAACATGTATAGCTTGGAGGAAAGACGAGACAGGAGGGATATGATAGAAACATTTAAATATATAAAGGGGATCAACACAGTAAAGGAGGAGACTATATTTAAAAGAAAAAAAAATACCACAACAAGAGGACATAGTCTTAAATTAGAGGGACAAAGGTTTAAAACTAATATCAGGAAGTATTACTTTACTGAGAGGGTAGTGGATGCATGGAATAGCCTTCCAGCTGAAGTGGTAGAGGTTAACACAGTAAAGGAGTTTAAGCATGCGTGGGATAGGCATTAGGCTATCCTAACTAAGATAAGGCTAGGGACTAATGAAAGTATTTAGAAAATTGGGCAGACTAGATGGGCCGAATGGTTCTTATCTGCCGTCACATTCTATGTTTCCCTCCAGTTATGTGCCGGGTTTATAGATCTACAGGAAGCTATGGTCATTTCATCATATTTGCCTTTCTTTCTGCAGGTCTCGGTTGCTGCCCTGAACTTGGGTTGGTGGCCACATCTGGAAGAGACAGAAAGGTTCGCATTTGGAATCAGCATAATCAGCTGCTCAGGTTTGCTGTCTTCTGGTAATCAGTCATAGCACGATTTTCTTCTGCGCAGTGTCCAATCACAGCACGGTATTTAAACACAGTGTCCAATCATAGCACGATATCCTACTGCACAATGTCCAATCACAGCAAGGTATTTAAACACAGTGTCCAATCATAGCACGATATCCTACTGTACAGTGTCCAATCACAGCTCAGTATTTAAACACAGTGTCCAATCATAGCACGATATCCTACTGCGCAGTGTCCAATCACAGCAAGGTATTTAAACACAGTGTCCAATCACAGCACGGTATTTAAACACAGTGTCCAATCACAGCAAGGTATTTAAACAGTTTTTAAACCGATTCCAATCACAGCACGGTATCTAACTGCGCAGCCCCAATTCACAGCAGAGTATTTCATCCCTTTCTTTCTCAAACTAGGAGCTCCTGGAAAGGGTAACCATGCGTCCCCATTTGCCCTGTCCGTGTCCTGTTTGATTTATATATCAACATACAAAACTAAACCCTGCATTTAAACTCCCACTACTCCTGGGCAGCAGCAATGACTAAAGTACACGTCAGCCCCAATACTTACAATAAAAACCAAAGAACAAAGTTACTTGTGCCCTATCCCAAATCCCTATGCATATTTAAGTAACTGGAGGCTTGACTTGGCAGATGAGCTTACTATTTAAAGGCTATTAGAGTGATTCTAAAAACCTCCAGTTATTTATTATTAAATGTTATTTAAATGTACATGGGTAATTGGGATAGTGTGCAGGTTACTATTTGTTTTATTTCATTTATAAATCAGCCAAGAGGTGTGCTGAATGAGGTCACTGAACCTCTGGAACGGGTGGGTGAGTTTTCTTTTTCTATCTCCTCTTCAGGACATTGTGTCTGAATGACACCCCTCAGAGCTTAGCTTTCAGCAAAGGTGGAGCAGAACTTCTGTTAGGAGTGCGCACTAATGTGTATCGAATCAACCTCTCCAGATTGCTGCCTATGTCGTATCAACTCAAGGTACCTTTCAACACATCAACGGCGTATTTTCATATTAATATTCTCAGCTCTGTGACTCTATGTATGTTGGCACCCCTGGACTATAGAACACGTTTGTGTGCCGCTCCCTCACCAATCCCATTTTGTTATGGAAATTACACACACACTCTCTCGCTGGAGCGAAGCTTCATTCCTTGGGTTCATTGGATATACTGACTGTGGAAGCCGAGCTGTCTGACGACTGATTGACATAACCCTACTACATAATGATCTCTGTGTCTGTGATATTGTTTAACAGGCTGTCATTGTTGATTATAATAGTTTATTATTTCCCAGGACATACTTTAAAACTAGCGGAATCTCAATGTATCCATCCTGGTAAAATATTTTATAAATAAATAAATTATAAAAGTTATTTGTTTATATATTTACTGGATTCAAGTTGATAAAATCCCACCGCACATACTGTATGTTTGTCTTCTCTTTCAGCTCCAGGCAATGTTTCTCGAGTCGTCATCACTCCCTGTTGATCCTCCGATACCTATTCTGAGCTCTGCTCTGCTGGCCATGTCGGAGGAAGATCGGAGGCGACTCACTCAGACACACTCCATACTGTCCAGGTACCAAAAATCTTCTACAGTCTGTTCTCTGTTCACTTCTTTGTGATTAACCTAACCTTATTTTTTCATTTTCAGTCCTGGAGTGGAGGTGCCAAGGAACCTACAGGAGAGTAAAGAGAAAAGCGAGGTACAAGATTGTGTAAAAATTGTAAAAGCGACAGGGAAGTTTGTGTTTAAATAACAATCCCCCCCCCCCTGTTAGGAATATACTCGGCTTTGCACTAGAGATCAAGAGCTGCAACTTCTACTGGAAGGAAGGCTGGAGCACTCCAAGAAAACGAAGATCAGCAAGAAAAACAAGAGGGATGCCATGGAAAGATATCTTCAGCTCCTGTATAGAGACATAGCCTGCATAAAGGTGAGTGTGCACTCAGAGATGCTAGGAAAAGCTGTGAGAGAGCATAGTATAATAAAAATCAGAGAGTAAAGATATGGCTAGAGAAGAGAGGGGGAGCCGGGGGCAAGACTAGAGAGAGGGGGAGCCGAGGGCAAGACTAGAGAGAGGGGGAGCCGAGGGCAAGACTAGAGAGAGGGGGAGCCGAGGGCAAGACTAGAGAGAGGGGGAGCCGAGGGCAAGATTAGAGAGAGGGGGGGCCCGAGGGCAAGACTAGACAGAGGGGGAGCTGAGGACAAGACTAGAGAGAGGGGGAGCCGAGGGCAAGACTAGAGAGAGGGGGAGCCGAGGGCAAGACTAGAGAGAGGGGGGCCCGAGGGCAAGACTAGAGAGAGGGGGGCCCGAGGGCAAGACTAGAGAGAGGGGGGCCCGAGGGCAAGACTAGAGAGAGGGGGGGCCGAGGGCAAGACTAGAGAGAGGGGGGCCCGAGGGCAAGACTAGAGAGAGGG